CCTCCCCCAGGCTCAGGCAGGACACTCGGGGAGCCCACATCCCCGTGCCACGCAGAATCCCATCTCTCAGCAGCCTCTCGGTTGCTGTAGAAATACAATAAGGCCCACTGTGAGATGAGACCAGACCTGGCCTTCAGGGTCAGGGTGGAAGTTCTGTGGGCAGGGGACCCTGCAAGGCCCAGCAAGGTGCGCAGGTGTCCTCGCAACCGGCCCTGTCCCTCTGGATTATTTCTGCTGTGCGTCCCACTGCTCGAGGTGCTCCCCCCTGGAAAGCACGCCTGATACCCGGGAACCTCAGGCGTCACCCTGTGAACTCCCCTGCCTGTGGCAGGCACGGCAGGCCGTGTGCTGCTGCCACATCTCCCCTGACGGAACCCACTGTCGCGGACAGGTCTCCACAGATCCTCCAAGTCTGCGGGGGTTACAGTGGGGCATTCGGCCTGCAGAGCCCAGAACACACCCTGCGGCGCGCCCTGCACCAGCCTAACTATGCACAGGGCACTGTCGGGGTGCACTCCCACTTACAATGCACAATGAGCAGGGCACCCCATACACTTCTGGAGGTCACACCATTTATGCCTTAAAGCAGCCAGCACGCCCAAGCTGCCCCTCTGCAGGCCTGGCCCTCCCCGGACACCCACTGCAGCCAGGCTCTGGGCACACCAGTCACAGGGCCAAGCCCGGTGCATTTGCACAGAGTTCAGTTTACAGTCTGCGCCGGGGCACCCGCCCTGCTCCCGAACCTAATCTTCCCACTACAGTTCTCCGCCCAAGTCTGCATTTCAATCCCAAATATCCCTGGCCCACCTCCGCCCTGCCCTAGGGCAAGCAAGGAAGTTTCCAGTGTGTGTGGGGGTCCTCTCCTTACCAAAGCCCCCAGGCCTTGCTCTTCCCCACTGTCCCGCACCCCGTGGGCCCTGCCCGGCCGCCCTACCTGCAGGCAGGCCCTGTGGGACCCGGCCCCGCGGGGCTGGGGGGGGGGCGCTAATGCGGAGCAGGGGCGGCGGCAGGGCGGCTGCCCTCGCGGTGGGTGGTCGGCGGCCGGCGCGCACCACCCGGCGCAGGATCTGGTTCCGCGCTCGGGTTACGGCGCGCTCGCGCCCCGCGGCTTCACTTAAGCAATTATCCAGTGAAAATACCCGGGCCTGGGGAGCGGAGGGTCGCAGGCATGGCTCCATTACCCATGCTGGGGATTCCTCCTCGGGCCGCGGCGGGGGCACGGATTTGACTTGGGCCGGGAAGGGTGTCTGTGGGTTTTAAGCTAAGAGCAGTGTTCTCCCAGGTCGGGGGGGCTGAGGCCCCAGGTCTTGGTTTCTGTTTGAAGAGATTGCCCCCCACCCAGTCCTGCCTCACCCTCCGTCCAGCCCTGAGAAGGGCCAGCATGCTGGGATCCACCTTCAGAGGAAGCATCTAACCGGCACATCCCTAGGTGGTGGGGAGGGTCGAATCCCCTCCACACTGCCAGTCTGAGGTGTAGGGTGTCCCTGCTCTTACCCGGGTGGTGGGGTGTGAGGGCTCAGCTCCCTGCTCCAGTTTGGACCCTAGCACTGCAGGATCAGGGAGGACTTGAGCAACCCCACTGAGCCCCATCTGTAAGGCAGAGGGTGTTGACGTGTAGAGGTTTCTCTGGTGGGGCAGCCCCGAGTGTGCCTGCGTGGAGGGGTAGTTTTTGAAGGGATTCCACATGTTCAGTGAAACCTCCAAGAAACCTCTTAGAGAGAAGGAGCTGTCACAGGTACGCACCTTGGGTGGGTGCAGGCAGGTCCCCCGTTAACCAGATTATCAAATTACCTGCAATATCAAAGGGGTTCACAGCCAAGAGATATGCTAAGGACATGCAGGGCCATTTACAGAACAGTGAGCCCAGAGGGCACACACTGAGGGGTGCCCTGACCTCCCTAACTCCCTGTTCTCCCAGAAGTCTCTGCGCTCTGGAGCCTGGGAAGCCTTTCCAAAGCCCGCTCTGTCTCTCCCACCACAGGAAGGCATTGGTGGACCAGAGGCCACGGCCTTCTGTCCTTGGGTAGAGCGAAGCCTGGAGGGAGGGTCGCTGGCAGCCCCTGCCCAGAGCTCTCTGGAGCTCGGCCTCCTCACCTCCAATCTGCCTGGCTAAGGGGACCTCTGGGCAGTGCCCAGAGAGCCAAGCCCTGGGTCCCTGGAGCGCAGGAAAGTGTCCTTGATCTGTGTGGCTGTGCTTGCCCCCTCCCTCTCAGGACCCCCATCTTTCTCCTGGCCCAGCACAGAGTAGGATTTGAGGAGAGCTTGGCCCTGGGTATTCCTGGGGCTCTAGGCTGACCCCTAACCTCCAGGCCTTGACTGCTCTGTCTTGGGCAGTCTGCTTAACCCTGGGGGCCTGGGAGTAAGTGAGGCGATGGGGGCCCATGCCATGCGTAACCCTCCCCAAAGGCAGCGCTCTTTCACCCCCAAAGCACAAGAAGCCCCCAGAGGAAGCCTATGTGGGACAAAGCAGGAGGCAGGAAAACTGAATTCTGGGTGAATCAAGGAAGGAATCTGCAGCCCTGAAACCGGACAGGGCCTATGGGGAAGGCAGCTGCTAGAAAAGGGCACCCCAATCTCACGTTCTATGGCTCCCCTCTCTTTGGGGCTCCCACTAGTGGGGGAGCAGGAACGGGAAAGGAAAAAGTCCACTTTCAGGGAGACACAGCTGTCCCTCAGGTACTGATGGGTGGCTGCTCCTCCCCGAACCTCCCTCCCTGGGGAGAACGTGAGAACACGCGCGGGTGGCCGGCGGTGCGAGGTCTGCGAGGTGGCCAGCGACAGGCCTGTGTGTGGGCGGGCTCCGGGCTGAGCGGTGCCCCACGGAGCCCTTCGGAAAGGTGCAGAGGTCGGCCAGGGGCAAAGGCGGCTGCATGAGGCCGGACTGGGTCTGCCGGCGCGTCTGTCTCCGGGAATACCCGAGCACACCTCGGCCTTCTGGGCCCACACAGGCCCTTTCCCTACGAGGCCAAGGTGTCCGCCCGCCTGGCCGAACACACAGGGTGGAAGGCGACTCTGGTCTCCCCCAGGAGCTCTGCTCTGCTAGGAAAGACTTGACAGCCAGGCAGACTAAGCTCCCAGCACCTCGCAGGGACGTGCCAGGCGCCCCGAAGGCGACCAGGCGTCTTCCGCCAGCCGCGAAGGCACGGGAGGGGGTGGCCAGCGGGAGCGAGGAGCGGGCCGAAATGGCTGTGACCAGGGCGCTTTGAAGAAGCCGCAGGTCGGCCCGGAGCAGGCACCAGCCTCTTGCTCCCGCGCCAGGTTACGGCTCCTCTCGGTGACCCGTGAAAACACCCCTCGCGCCTCCTCTCCACCCGGGACCCGGTGCCGGAGGCCAGGCCCCCGCGCGCGGCGGTCAGCGCCGCGGCCACACTCACCGGTCCGCGCGCAACGCGTCGCGCCGGCTCCCGCGCGGTCCTGCGCTGCGCTCTCCGCCACCTTCCCAGCGCCACCGACCCTGCTCTCACGACAGCGCGGCGAGAGGGACGAGCGGAGGCTTGCGTGGGAGCCCGCGGGCCGGCAGCCAGGCGTGCGAGGGCAGTCCCGGCCCGCGCTCCCGCCCGCCTTCCGGAACCTGGCCTGGTGCGCAGAGTCGGAGGCCCTGCGGCGGCGGCAGGCCGAGCCCACAGGGGCGTTAGGCCAACTCCCCCCGCGCACGCGGAATTCTCTATTATTATTATTAAAGAATCCCCCAGAACGTGTTTACGTTGGGCCGTGTAAACTTCCTGCCAGGGCTTTGCCATCTCTCGGGAAAACGCTTGGAAGATGGGGACTCGGCCGCGGGGCCAAATGGGGAGGGGGGGCTGCAGCGTGTGCCTGGGGGGGCGGGGGGATCCGGCTTCGGTGAGTTCAGCCCCGAGCACACCCTGTGTGCGTGAGCGCGCGCGTTAACGGGCGCGCGGTGCCGAGCGCCGTGTGCGGGAGTGGGCATGCACGCACGAGCCAGAGTGTGTGATGTAGCGGGCTGCTTGTGCGCGGACACATGGAACCGTGTGCCAAGTGCGCGGCGGTGCGCAGCCGTGCGCGTGCATGGCTGACCCAGTGAGCGGGGCCTCTCGTTGGCGAACCTGTGCGGTTGGCGTCGCCGCCTCTGGGCCGGCGTTTCCCAGCCCGCCGTGCTCCAGAGAGACAAAGCGACCGCGACCCGCCCTGCGCTTTCGTTTTCGGCCCGAGCCGGCCCCAGACGGCTGGCCGCCCGCTAGTGCGCTGCTGCCGGGCGAATCCGAAAACTCCCGGGCGCGGCGCTGTCCTTCCCGGGGCGGGGAGAGTGGGTAGGCGGTCCCTCGCGGGAGCTCGCTCCGTCCCGCCTCGGGGACCTCCGGAGCCCATCCCGCCGCGCCCGCGATGGTCGCCGTGCGCCTGCAATCTCGAGTCGCCTCGGGGCCGCGCGCGTCGGGGAGGCCCGGGGACCTCGGGAGCGTCCCGCGCGGCGCCGCCTGGGGCTAAGAGGCGCTGGCTGCACACCGGGCCGGCGCGGGGCGGAGGCGCGGGGACACTTGTACGCCAGGTTGGTGGAGGCGGGGCGCGCCCTGCAGGCAGCCGCCGTGCGGAAACCGTGGGGGCGCTTCCAGGGCCCACCGAACCGGGGCCGGCGGGGCAGGGCGTGGAGGGCACTCGGGAGCCTCTGCGCCGGCCGCGGGCCACCGCCCGGCCGAGCCGTAGTGAAAGCGGCCTGGGCGGAATCGCGGGACGCGAGGCCCGGCCAGCGCTGGTGTCCACCCAGGCCGGCCCGGGGGAGCCTCCTTGCGGCCTGCGCCCGGGCGCCCCGGCCTGCGCTCCGCTCCGCTCCTTCCCGGTGGGAGGGCGAGAGAGAAAGAGGGAGGAGAGAGGGGGAGGCGGGAGCTGGGGAGAGGGGGGCTCTGAGCCAACCGGGCGGCCGCGGCTCCCGGGGAGGGCGGGCGGGGGAGGCGCGCCGGGCGCTGGAGCGGTGGCCGCCGATGACGGCAGAGGCGCAGCCGGCCCCGCGCGCGCAGCCCCCTCCCCCTCGCCCTCCTCCCCCTCCTCCTCTTCCTCCTCCTCCTCCTCCTCCTCCCGGCTCCTCGGCGGCGCAGAGCAGCGGCAGCAGCGGCGGCGGCGGCAGCAGCCACCCGATGTCTTCGGCGCCCGAGAAGCAGCAGCCCCCGCTCGGCAGCGGCGGCGGCGGGGGAGGCGGCGCGGCCATGGACCCTGCGTCGTCCGGCCCGTCCAAGGCCAAGAAGACGAACGCCGGTATCCGGCGCCCGGAGAAGCCGCCCTACTCGTACATCGCGCTCATCGTCATGGCCATCCAGAGCTCGCCCAGCAAGCGCCTGACCCTCAGCGAGATCTACCAGTTCCTGCAGGCGCGCTTCCCCTTCTTCCGCGGTGCCTACCAGGGCTGGAAGAACTCGGTGCGCCACAACCTCTCGCTCAACGAGTGCTTCATCAAGCTGCCCAAGGGGCTCGGGCGGCCGGGCAAGGGCCACTACTGGACCATCGACCCGGCCAGCGAGTTCATGTTCGAGGAGGGCTCCTTTCGGCGGCGGCCGCGCGGGTTCCGGAGGAAGTGCCAGGCGCTCAAGCCCATGTACAGCATGATGAACGGGCTGGGCTTCAATCACCTCCCGGACACCTACAGCTTCCAGGGCTCGGCCGGCGGCCTCTCGTGCCCACCCAACAGCCTGGCACTGGAGGGCGGCCTGGGCATGATGAACGGCCACTTGCCGGGCAACGTGGACGGCATGGCCCTGCCCAGCCACTCCGTGCCCCACCTGCCCTCCAACGGCGGCCACTCGTACATGGGCAGCTGTGGTGGCACTGCGGCCGGCGAGTACCCCCACCACGACAGCTCTGTGCCGGCCTCCCCGCTGCTGCCCGCTGCCACCAGCGGGGTTATGGAGCCGCACGCCGTCTACTCGGGCTCGGCGGCTGCCTGGCCGCCCTCAGCCTCAGCAGCCCTCAACAGTGGCGCCTCTTACATCAAGCAGCAGCCCCTGTCCCCCTGTCCGCCTGCTGCCAACCCCCTGTCTGGCAGCCTCTCCACGCACTCCCTGGACCAGCCCTACCTGCACCAGAACAGCCACAACACCCCGGCGGAGCTCCAAGGTGAGTGGGAGCAGGGAGGGGTGCCACCCGGAGGTCACCAGGGCCGGGAAGCTTTGCTGGCTGCGGCAGGCCCAGTCTCCCAGCCCAGCAGGGCTGCACCCGCCTGGTTCTGCTTTATGGTCGGGCGGCAGCAGCCCAGTGGGGATCCCACTTGGGGCGGCTACGTTTCTCTCCCTATTCTCCTCTCCCAAACCTGATCCCGAGGCCTGGTCTCCCCAAAACTGTCAGACCTCAGTGCTCTCAAGTCCCTTTGGGTCCCCCACTGCCTTCATGCCTCAGAAAGGCCTCTGTAACATGGGTCAGTGGGTCTGCTCATCCCTGCCCGTCCCTCCCAAGGTGCTGGCCTGGGCTGAACCGGAGAGCTAGGCCCAAAGCCGCTTGGCCCCAGCCCTTCAGGGAGCTGAGACTGGGCACTGCGGGCATAGGAAGGGCAGTGTGGTGGCCAGGCTAGCGAGGGTCACTGTTGCAGGCCTCAGAACTTGTTGTTTCTCAGGAGCCAGCTTTTTAAGGCCCCAGCAAGTGGATTTGGAGTGCGTTCTGGTTCCCATCCCCCTGCCCGCAAGGAGGCCGGCTGCCTTCTGGGCCCAGCCCTGGGAAGCATAGCGGCCCGGCCGCTCTGGCTCTGGCTCTCGCTCTCGGTCTTGGTCAGCTGGGCCGCCTCTCCCTGGGGCCCTCCCTGCTGGGGCAATTTCTGAATCCCAGCCCCTGGTGCCCCGGCACCCGCTCTCCCAGGGATCCCCCTTCCAGAGGAGGCAGCCGCTTCACTCCTCTGCCCAGGGCACCGTGTCTCGCTTGCCGGCCAGGCTGGGCTGCTCCCTCCACCCTGGCGGGGTCCTGCCCTGGAGGTGGCGGCCGGGAAGTGCAGCCGCTGGGCCCCTCTGCAGCGGGCGACTGTGTGGGGAGTGCGGCCTCCCTTTCCCGTTCCCCTCCGCTTCGGGAAGCCTGTCGTCCGAGGCGGGAGAGGCCCGGCCTTGGGATCCATCCGGTCCTGGGACGGCTCCCTGGGGCGCACAGCCCAGGGACCTCTCCCGGTGACCTAGCCTCACCCAGGGCCGGGGACAGTCGGACAATCGGAGTCCCGGTGCAGCTGGGCGGTGAGGAGCAGGGCAGCTGGACACCCGTGCGCCCGAACCGGGCTGAGCCTCCCCGTGCCCTGGGGGGTCGCCCTGCTCCTCCACTCTGCTCGCTGGCCCGACGCCCTAACGCCCGTGCTCCCACCTCCTGTGTCGCCTCGCCCTGCAGGCATCCCGAGGTATCATTCGCAGTCGCCCAGCATGTGTGACCGAAAGGAATTCGTCTTCTCTTTCAACGCCATGGCCTCCTCGTCCATGCACTCGGCCGGCGGGGGCTCCTACTACCACCAGCAGGTCACCTACCAGGACATCAAGCCCTGCGTGATGTGAGGCCGGCCGGGACCCTCCCTCCGGCACTGGCCGGCCGGCCCGGGGACCTCGGAGCCACGGCCAGAACTGCTTCCTTCTCGAGGTATAACCTGCAGCAGCAGAACAGAGGTTGGCCCCTCCCCAGCCAGCCGGGATGTTTGGAAAGAAGTCCCCAAGGTCCGGCCAGCGGGTCAGCGCCGAGATCTGTGCTGGCAGCTCCTTCAGATCCCTCACGGATTTTTAAACAAGTGGCTGCGGTGGGGCCCGGTGGTGGGACCGCAGCTGCGGGGGGAAGGAGCGTCCCTGTCGTCGGCTTGGTCGGTCGCGGGAGGCCAGTTTGGGGACGACCTGCCACCTCCAGACAAGAACTCTGCTGAGTGCCCTCCCCTGCCCACGGCAGGCTGGGGGAGGTTTAACAAGAAAGGCAAGAGAGCGAGACCAATCATTATCAAATACTTTTATTTTTTGGTTGAGTATTTATCTTTTTATTTTTAACTTTTTTGAAAGAATGTCTTGGACCGCGCGAGCCTCCCGGGAGAGCCGTCATTTGTCGTTTGGGTGCGGGAAGGGGACCAGGCCGGGCGCTGCCTTCCCTCCGCAGACACAGGTGGATCTTGGCATGTGCAGAACTCGGGGCTCCGAAGCCACTGTTCCTCTTCAGAGAAAACACAAGGGGCCGCGGCCCGCGCCCCTCGGCCGGCTGTCCAGGCTGTCCAGGCTGTCCAGCCCTGCGTCCGCCACCTTCCTCCCTCCGCCCTCCCTCCCAGTCCAGTTTCGTTTTCCTTCCTGGTGGGCGTTTTTCTGTCTCCCAAGCTCTACTGTAGACTTTCTGGTCCGAGGATGAAGCTCACACAGCGCCAGGCGGGATGGGGGGCCCGGGACCTCGAACTCCGCATCGCGGTGACGCAGAAAGGTTAAGGCACTTTTTAAAAAACTCTAGCAAGGCTCATCCTGGTATTTATTCTCCTTTCTTTCCCTAATAATCCAAGCACCGCACGGTTTCTCCGTTTATCAGTATTAATGGTGTAACTTCGTTGGCAATATTTGCCGGGTAGGATTTTTTTGAGATGCCCATTGTAAATTTAAAACAAAGACCGAACCATGTGAAAACAAATTCCCATATGTTTTATATAAATATATATAATATGAAGGACTTACCCCCCTTTTCTAGTATTTCGGCTGCTGGGGTGCAGCCTTTGTGACACGTATTTCCAATTTCCTTCTGCACTGTATAAAATGACAATTTGAGGATGTTTTGCCTTTTGTGTATTTTTTCCTAAAAAAAGAACAAAAATAAAAATGTGTAACATTTGTACACGGCCTTTCACGTTGTGTAGAAACCGGGTCTGTCGCGTGGCTGTTGCCTGAGGCGGTGGGCTCCTTCCTCCCGAAGGCCTCCTCCGCCCTCCCCTGGGCTTCTGACCTGGGGAAGCGGTCGCTCCGGATCCTCTTTTCTTTTCCCGTTTTTTCTTTTTTGGCCGATCCTCCTCTTTTCACTCTTCATTTCCCTCTGAAGTAAAATCTGGACAAGAGTAACTGTTTTTCTTGGCTTCTGTTTTTTAAGAAGAGCCCTCTGCCCCTCTAAATGTCATTTCTCGTTAAAAAGAAATGATCAGATGTTTCAAGGAAAACCGTGGTCCTGTTTCCCCTGGGGAAACCGAGCAGGCCATGCATGTGTATAAATATGTATATATACGTGGATAAATGTGTATATCTGTATACCCGCACATCACTCCGCGGACCCACGTTCCATCTGTAAGTGGATTTCTGTGGATTTCCATGATACACATTGATGTAATTTTTTTCTCATCCACGACCAGTGAGGATGTGACTTTGGCTTCAGCCATTACTGCTCCCCTGGTCTAGTTAGGAATCATGAAACGACCTCAGGGCTTTATTTTCGTTTTTGTTTTGTTCGATGGAGCCTTTCACTTGGTTTTCCCAAATGAAAATTGAGTTAAATTTGGGCAGGCGGAGGGCAGCCGTGGCTGGGGCCTGGCGACAGGCAGATTTCCAACGCGGCAACATTTCCCTCCAAAATCTTTTTTTCTCCTCTCAGGGGAAAAACAAGCCCGTGTCTCCTGCTGAGCAGCCCCCTTTTTTCTAGGGCTAGCTGGGGACACAGACACTGCCCTGTGACCCCCCGCGGTGTCTGCGCTGTGGGGTCTCCGTCTCCGAACCTGTTTCTTCTCAGATCTGACATTCTGGACGTGGGGGTGATTTCTCCTGTGCTCTGTTACATCAAAATTATCAATAAAGTCGCCCAGGCAATTAATGTCCCAAACTAACAGCTGTCTAAAACTAAGATAAAGTGGACAGAACAGCCTGAGACTCGTCTCGTGCTGGGCGGGGGCGTCCAGTGCTCACCTGGCTCTGCCCTGCAGGGTGGTTTGGATCACTGGGCGCTGGGCGCCCACCTCGGAAGACCCTGCGCCTGTGAGGCTCCCGGAAAGTAGGGATTGCTCTGGCAGCTCCCAGGGCTTTGGCTGCATCTCCAGCCTCCCTCCCCACACCCCCACACTGGGGACCCCGCTTCCTGCCTTCTCTGGGGTCACACTCGCACTGCAGCCCCATCTCCAGCTCTCCCATGGCAGGGCTGGTGGCTGTAGGGTGTGCTCCCGCACCCTGGCACCCCGAGGGGCTTGTATAGGACACTGGCCTCAGGTCCCGGGGGCCAAGCCTGGCCTCTGTCTCTAGGCCACATCTGGCTTCTGAGAATGAGGGGAAAAGCCCCCCATTCCGGGCTCCTGGCAACCTGGAAGAGCCGGACTCCGCCGGGCAAAATCGCCTCTGCACCCAGCACCCACATTTCGCCTCCGAGGGCGCCTGGTTGGCTGTGGCCTCGCAGGCCATCACAGCCACTGCCACCGGGAAAGCTCCTCCTGTTCTCTGTGCAGAAGCCGCCCCGCTGTTCGGGGCACAGGCCAGAGCCGCTGTCACCTGCGTGCCCAGGGAGTGGATGCTGCCCCGCACATGGATGTCCTCTCCACGCGCACCCACGAAGTCCATCTGGGGACACTGAGGTCCAGCCGTTCTGAGTGCACACGCCCCTCTCCCCTGTCCTAAAAGTCCAGGAAGGGATGTGACAAGAATACGGACTCCCTGGATCGCTGGGCTCCTGCTGCGGGCCTGAGGCTCAAGCTGGGCTGCGGAGCTTCAGTCACATGCCGGTCCCCTTTCACTGCGGGCTGTGGGGCCTCCGGCTCCTGGTCCTGGAGGACGGAGGCCTGGAGCTCCGCTGCCCACAGCCCAGCCCTTGCTGCTCACTGGGGCCCAGCAGCTGGGGCGACCCTGTGGGTCTGCACTGTGAAGGCCCCGCTGCCTCTGTCCTTTCTCTTCAGGCTGGAGGCCGAGGTGGGGTGGGGAGCGGTTGGGGGTCCCCTCCTTGGAGGAGTCTCTGCTGGGAGAGAGGCCCTGAGAGGATGAAGTTGGGGTCTCTGGGCTGCCTCCAGCAAGCCACGCCACTGGGAAGCCCTGGTTCCCTCCTCCCTGGCTGTGCTGTCCCCTGTGGACCTGGCGAGTGGTGAATGAGGAGGAAGGGGTCATCTGGTGCCCTGGCACCCAGAAGACCACCGGCAGACCCCTCGCACCGGGATCCCGTGCACATGAGCAGCGCTGTGTGTGGGTCGGGCGGCTGCCCTGAGAGCTTCAGGAATCCAAGCATGCGGACTTCAGCCTTCCCAGGGAGAAGGAGCCCCCTCCCCACCCACAGGGGCTCAGCAGGTGCCACAGTGGGGTCCCCTGTGCTCAGCTCCACAGAGACCAGGTGCTGCCGGCTATGGGAGAGGGCATAGGGCTGGAGGCGCGGGCCCCCACGGGTTCCTTGGAGGCTGGGCCTCTCTCTGCGGCTCCGCAGCCGCCAGTCTGTCCCTGTGCCCTCCGCCTGCCGCCTGCGAGGGTGCTCGCCCGGCCTCTGCTGCCCCCTACTGCCCACCCGAGGCGTGACCATAGCCGTTGCAGTCCCGGGACAGAACAGGGGCAGGCGGTCTCCAGCAGCCTCCTGCGGGAGGTCTCGGTACTGCGGCTCCTCCCAGGGCAGCTGCAGTGGAGGCTGAGCCAGACAGGTGAGTGCACTGCCAGGGCTGGAACCTGACTCAGAGCCGGGGCTTTCTGACCTCGAAGCCAGGTCCCTGGCCAGGGAAGTGCAGCCCCTGGTCTGCGGAGGTGGGGGTGGCACGGGCAGGGCGGCAGCCCCTGCACCGGTCACTGATGGTCACTTCCTCCCCTCAGACTGTTCCTGCCCCGGCCCTCGGCTCAGGGGAGGAGAAACCTCCCAGTCAGTGGCAGGAGAGGGAAGCAGGTGGGCAGCATGGCCGCCTTGGAAGGAGGTGGCCCTTCCTTCTGCAGCTCCCCAGGGCTGCACCCCGGGGAACCCCGAAGCTGAGCACATGTCCACCCCTGGGATACGGGCCACCACATCCATGCAGGACTGGCCTCAGGGTGACCATGGCATCTCCCCCTCCTCTGCTGTGCTGGGGGTGGGGACCGGGGCCTTGGGCCTGGCATGGACCCTGCGCCCCAATCACAGCTCTTGATGTACCGGGGCCGATGCTGGGTAGGAAAGAGGCCGTGTGGCCCCTCTGACCCCACAGCTGCAGCATGAGCAGGCTGACGTCCCTGGATGTCACGGACTGTCAGCCAGCGTCCACAGTGCCCAGTGGACGTACACATGGACGCTGGTCCCTCTGGCTGCTCCAGTGCCAGCACACCCGGGCTGCCCGGACACCCCGGACAGGAGAGGCTAAGGAGGCCAGGGCCAGCTGGCGAGGCGAATGCTGGTCTTGGCACCCACACCACACTCACGGTGGTCACTTCTGCCCAGTCTAGTTAGCCTGCAACACAGGGGACCAGCGCCACGGGCCAGCATGGCCAATCCTGCCCAGTGCAGGTCAATGGCAGTTGTGCCACAGGGCAGGGCTTCAATGGCCAGGTCCTGGCCTGAGGAGGGTGACATGCTGGGACCCTGGGGCACCTGACCAACCTGCAGCATCCCTGTCACGGCCATGCAGTAGACAGAGATAGCCCAAGGTGGCCGACGCAGGGCATCGGTGGGTTTCTTCGAGGCAGGCGCCCTGGGAGACTCTGGCAGAGCCTCCTTGTCCTGCCAAAGCTATCATCCTTAGCGGAGGGGGAAGGGGACAGCCACCACTCGGAGAGACCCGGCAAGGTGGCCGTGGGGACTGGAGGACACGTCGTTGCTCACCCCCAGGGCTCTTTGCTATGATTTCACTGCTGGGCGAGGGCTCAATATTGGGGGCCAGCAAAGGAAGAGGGGACCCCTGAGTTTACCTGTCCAGGAAGCACAAGCCACCAGCAGGCTGGGGACTGCGCCTGGCTGTGTTGGTGGGGAGGCAGCGCCACCTGCTGCCCATGGGGTGCAGGTGGTGCCGGGACCTAGTTAGAGTCCCGCAGGGAACCAGCCTGGTCTCCCCAGGTGGGGAAGGGGTCGCTGAACCTGACCCTGGGACTTCAGACCCTGGGGCATCTGCTAAGGGAAGGGAATAAGCTACTTTAGTCTTTTTCTGATTACACAAATGAGGAGGCTCAAGGGTCTCACGGACCCTTCCTTTACTTTTCTACTGTGAATTCACACTGCAGCGCCGTGGTACACGGCTGCGCGTCTCGGTACCTTTCTCTGAGGCACACGGGAAACAATCCATGTGCTTACACACTTGGCATGACGAACAGCAAGCAGCGTGCCCCTGAGCATCAGTGTCAGAACAGGACGTGGCCCCGCCTTGGTGCCCTGCCCAGCTGGCTGTGCTTTGTTTTCCTGAGCATCACCAAGGTCCAGCAGATCCACTCCACTCCAGGATTTGTTTCCAAAAACTTTTGACTTCACTGGGAGAAGTAGCCCAGTTTGGTACAGTGGCACTCGAGAAACCAGATTTGCAAGGTTTGACGGAGGCTCAAAGTGAGTCTTCAGACCTCACATGCACGGATGAGGAAAATGATCCATCGTGGCAAAACCCAGGTGTCCTAACGGAAGAACGGCGTGCACGGAGGGTGGGGACGATGGTGGTGCTGATGGGTTTGTCGTGGTCACGTGAGCCTAAGTTCCTGTGACGGTGAAATGGAGCAAGGACAGACTGACAGGGACACAGGGAATGCAGACCTCTGCCTCAGACGGTGATCAGCAGCCGTGTGAGTCCCTCCTCGACTGGTCACAATGTCGCCAAGCGTCCTCGAAACCAAAGTGGCATCCAGTGCTAGAAGGAGGTCTAAAAGTGCAGCGAGGGTCTTGGCAGCGAGGGGACCTCCTGGACGGAAGGCGGCACCGCTGCCAGGTGCCGCGCTGTGCCGGGAACACACAAG